AGAGAGAGAGAGAGGTTGCTAGTTGGGACATGCCCTTTTTTGTTAACCCGAGAGAGTGGTGGTTGGGGCGTGCCCCTCTTAAAACTTGGAAAGAGAGAATGAGAGAGATTGAACCCCTAGGTGGGGTGTGCCACCTATAGAGAAATATTGGAGGGGAGAGAGAGTGAGAGATCTCTTAGAAAGAGAAGAGAAAAAAGTAGGTGTAAAGCTTTTATGAGGTGGGAGAGCCTCATTTTATAGAGTTTTTTAGACCTTAGGGTTCCCTCAATTCTAAAGGTCAAATTTTGATAGTCAATCTAAGGAGACTTGTGGGGTGAGATATGTGAGTCATTCATCTTTTTGATCCACCATCAAAATTCAAAGGGATGTGCAAGATCATTATCCTCCATTTCCTAAATATATTCCTATCAACATTTTAAACAAGGAAAATATATATCTTACTTTCTATTTTAATACATTTAATCCTTATTTTTTGAATCACTAAATCTTGATTCACAAGATTTACTAAATATTTCAAACATTTAAATTTATCATGCAAATTAGCTCTATCCAAAACGAAAAAGCCAATCAACATGGAATAACCATCACCTTACTTGGTGATTAAGTCAATCCCTATGGGTGTTGTGCTACCCTTTGGTGGCCACAGGTGGGCCCTACCTAATTCTCACATGTGAGCAATTGGGTCCCCATATTTATGAAGGGTCTCACATAATTTTAGAAAATATTTTATTTTGATTTAAAAATTTTAAATCTCATAATTTATTTAAAATATTGAAAAATTAATTTATCTTAATTTATAAATCCAAATGAAAAAAAAAATATCAAAAGATTCACAAAGCTCGAATAAACATTTTAAAAATCATATAACATAAAATTAATTAAAACTAATAAATTTTTATGAGAATTAGATATGTTAGATACAATAATTTATCAATGTACGAGAGCACTCCACCTTAACCTATAGACCACGATCCACCTAGCTTTTCAAATAGACCTAGTAGTTCCCATGACCTGCAGTCCACTACAGGGGCTCATCATTAGACCACCAAGTCAGCCAATAGACTAGGGGATGCAATATCAGTTTATGGATTTCAGGTTCTCCCCTAGAGAAAAAAGAAATCATGGTCCTCCAGACCATGATGCAACTATGATTATATGATGCATAGGGGTAATCTCTTGCACATGTACACGCTTCACCCTTCATGGTGAATTTCAATATGACTATTTATGTACATGTCGTATGATGATATAACGATGATGTTTTTTGACCTATCTCTAGAGGCTATTCATCACATCCAAGAACCACATAGTCCCTCAGCTCTCATCTGGGCATACTCCGACTTCATCAAGGGGTAACCCACTAAACCCTTCTCAGCAAATCCCTATGCCCAGAAATCTTTTTCCAAAACTCAGTTTATTACCATGTCGAGCTTAGTCCGAGAATCTGCAAATCACATTTGCCTGGTACTGTCCACACGAGGACCACACTCCCACCGAGTTTATGTTTTACTATATAAAATTCCCATACATGCTCTCATAAGGCCTTGAAAGACCACATAAACCCAACATCTCCCATTTGACCTTTGGAGGCCTTACAATTTCTCTTCTTCACATTCTCATTCCCCAAATTGCAATTTATTTCTCAAGTATTTTTCACTTATTTTCTCTTATTACATTAATCATGGTTTTTTCCATCAATCCTTTCACAAAGGATTTATGGTGGCAACACCTCTTTTTCTTTGCTGCTTGAATATCATATTGAACATGGTTGTAGTCCATCTTTTATATCGCATCATGAATTATAGACATATTGTCATAGAAGATCGTCACGTACCTTCATCTCATGGGGTCGTATCTTCAGGGCTTAAAGAAGTTCTTCAATCAAACTACTTTCTTTTGTAGCCATATAACTAGCACCACGCATCCGAGTTCCTTGGGTGAACAACAGTATGTTGTTCTAACTGGCCCATCAAACACAAGCAGGTGCTCCCACTGGATTATTGAATTTATCTAGCTGTTCATAGCATGATACTTATATATCTGAATATCCAAGTAGCTAAACAATAATAGTGGGACCGTTAACATCTCCCACTGAAAACATAACAGATGAAAAATATTATCTCAGCAATCTCATGCTTGTGTCATGAGGGTAGTATAGTAATCTTATGCAAACATAAATAAATCAATGCCAATTTGGTTTCGCAATATGCAAAACCTTCCTGAACCACAAAGGTTCAAGTACACTAGCCTTCTGAGTAGTATACCGATACAAGTCACGTTATCTAATAGACACAACACAGGTCAAGGAGAGCTAGCAAGATGGCCATCCTATGACATACCTATCGTTCATGGTCTTAGGTAATCAAGGATTCTAAAGAACTCAAAACCAGGTTACATAATCGATACTACGAAAACATGAGTAAAGATAAGTGGATATTTGAAAACAGTGCATACATTAATGAGATCTTTTCACATGTGCAAAAATGCTTTCAAGACCCAATGTTTTTCCTTATATAAAAAACTCTTGACTTGGTATACCTTTCACAAATAGCTAAAAACTAGCATACTGGTTTAAAACAATTTTTCTTAAATACTAGTGGATCTAGCAAGACTATGGGGTTTTCTGAAAATCATATCCATAAATTGTAGGTCTTTCACAAATGATCCAATCTAATTTTAAAATATGTGCTTAGTCTTCATAAATCATTTTTACCGCATTCACCAGTAATTACTTACCAAATCATGTTTACAGGTACAAAAAAAATCATAAAGTCTATTTTATAAATTTATCAAAAATAAAGCATGACTATATAAATGATTATCAAATCCAAATAAAAACACTTCTTATTGGCAAATATGGATACTTTGTCATGAGATCATTATCACGTGCAACACATCATGTTGCTGAACATTATTGGGAGGATGGTCACTAAGACCGGGTTTCATCGGAACACTCCCTTCGTGCTAACATATTTGAATAGGCCATATCCACCTCTCATGTTTCATACTTAGGCTCATAGTCCTTGATCAAAGAACATCTCTATGTGTATCACTTCCTTAAGTAGTTTATACTCAAGTACAAGGTGGCACAAATGATACAGGGTATTAAAAACTGACTCATTTAAATTTGTTAACACCTCTCACTTAATGTCCTTACACTCCATACATATTCATAAACAAATAGCCAAAATGTAATCATAAAATAAAATTTTATTGAATCATCTTTCCTTATAGGACCTTATCATATAATGTGAGATATATTTCATACCTCAAAACCATGTAGTGTGGTACCAAGGCTTCCTTGATTCTTTGCTTTTACTGGCGGATGAACTTTTGTGATATTGGAAAAACACACAATTGATGAAGAAACACTTGGTCATCATCTTTTACACATTGATGAAATATTCATCCCTTCGGCCTTTGGATTCTCCTTTACATATATAAAAGAATACTCTTCTTCATCCTATCATTTCAAATATCACAAATTTAATTCTTCTACTGATCTTTAGAGTTTCTTTGCTGCCACCAAGTCTCTCTACATATCTGATTGCTCTAAAATGTGGATGTGTTAAGAAATGGAATGTTTAGACAAACATTAGACTCCAAATAGAAAACTAGATGAAATCACATT